TTGAACACTGTGTCTCTCTCCCTGGATAAATTGGCAGCGTCGGTCTACCTCAATTTCTTCGTCACCCATAAAATATACTTGTAAAAATGTATGCTCTTCGTTTTCAGCTGGAAAAAGTAAACCTATTCTATGATAAATTTGCCATTGCACAGTAAATGTAGGTGAAAATCCCGGCATTATTATTTCCCGGTCAACTCCGAAGGACATCACTTGAAAGCATGAATTATATTTCCGGATCCTGTATATAAAGCGCCGTGACTCATTAGCATCATATAAAAAGAAAGTTTTTAAAGGTTCTTCTGGTTCCCCATGTAACGGAAGAGACACTTTGCCATTGGAACAGCACATGCCTGCGGTCTCATCTTTCCATTTTAAAGCGCTGCAAAATCGACACGCCTTGTCCATCAGTCCGATAACAACTAACCTATGATTTTTATAATCAATCAACGGATCATAATTGAATGCTGCGTCATTAAAAACCGACCAATTGTTTCTTTGAAAATTTTGTCGACGTTCAGCTTGGAGCTGTGCATTTGCATCTCTTCGCGCCTGTGTCTGTTCTGGTGTTTCAGATGCCCTTATAGTAGATTGACGTTCAGCTTGCTCAATGAGTCTGTGTTGAGTTTCATCAGGTGTTTCCACGGCTCTTAAGGCGGCCTGACGTTCCGCTTGTTGGAATAGCCTTTGCTGACTTTGAGCAGGTGTTTCAGTAGCTCTTAAAGTAGATTGACGCTCTGCCTGTTCAAGACGCCTTTGCTGACTTTGATCAGGTGTTTCAGTAGCTCTTGAAGTAGCTTGACGCTCTGCCTGTTCAAGACGCCTTTGCTGACTTTGAGCAGGTGTTTCAGTAACTCTTAATGTAGCTTGACGCTCTGCCTGTGCAAGACGCCTATGCTGACTTTGAGAAGGTGTTTCAGAAGCTCTTAAAGTAGCTTGACGCTCTGCCTGTTCAAGACGCCTTTCCTGACTTTGAGAAGGTGTTTCGGAAGCTCTTAAAGCAGCCTGACGCTCTGTCCGTTCAAAACACCTTTGCTGACGTTGAGAAGGTGTCTCAGATGCTCTAAAAGCAGCCAGACGCTCTGCTTGTTCGTGCCTACTCAGTTCAGCATCTTCTAAAGATTCCAGCGATCGAGCTAATCTTTTCGCTTGTCTTTGAGAAGATACTCTTGAAAGGCTGGACTTACGTTTGCGGGGCATTATGAAGTAACAAAAAACCTATTTATAAAAAAAACGTTAAAATACCTAAAAGGAATTAAATTTCCTTTTAAATATTTTTTTAAAAACAATGTTTTTTTTAAACGCAAATCCAAAATATTTAAAAGGAATAAATATTCCTTTTAAATATTTTTTTAAATCAAAACAACAAAACCAATTTAAGACACAACACGAATCCGAAAATGATAGCCAAAAAAATCGAATCAACTAAAACCAAATCACAAAATAAAATCGCAGAAAACCGAAATCGAAAGCAGTAGTCAATATAAATATAACCAACGAAAAAAGAAGTAAGTATATAGGTATCGTATACACTATCTATACTATTAATATTCCTTTGAAATATTGTTAAACAACCTAAAACAACGAAAACCAATTCACTATTCTAAATAAACAAAATCCAAAATCAAAGCCAGAGTCTAAATATATATAAAGGAAAGGAATACCAACCAAATCAACAAAACCGATCGAAGAAAATACACAAATCCGAAAATGAAAGCCAATATAAATCCATTGAACCTTATCCGAATCACAAAGCAAATTACAAAAAACCGAAATCGAAAGCAGGTAGTCGAATAAGCTACGAAATAGAAACAATTTAAGCGTATAGGCACCGTATGCACTATAAGTTGCCGCGCGATTCAACGGCTGGAGTTAAGTACATATCAGGAAACATTTCGTTACCGCGTTTTAAAAACCTAGTAACGACATCTAGCGGAATCAATTTAAACTATGTATACGTTAGTTAATAAGAACTCTCAAAAAATATTTTTCTTATAATTTTACACAATTTTTCTTATTGTAATACCGATTCATTCATAACCACATATAAGAACTGTATTCATTTCCGTTCAATAAATATTACTAAGGCTTATTAGTAAGGCTTACTAAGAACTGTTTCTACCACAGTTAAGTAATAGTTAAGGGTGAAAGCGTGACAGGTGGTGATAGTATTTCTGATCCATACTTATAATCACGCCTGTAACCCTTGCGCGGTAGGCAGAGCATCAACGGATTACTTAATATCGTCTGTGAATTACAAAAATCAGCTGGTGAATTTTATGTCTTTTATCGCTCTCTTCCCGGTCCTGCGTGAAAAAATACAGATCCATACATTTTTTATCTTAATTTTGGTAAAAAGACATAATAATCCAGATATTCTGACCTTCTGTGTTCGTCACAGATTACCCCCTAATCTATGGTGTTCGTCCATCGTACCGTCATCCGTCTTGTAGAATCACGGTGGCGCCACCTAGCTGAATTTAATTTTGCAACATATTCGATTTTCCCACGGGAATATGTTTTTCCGCTGAAAAAAGTAGCCTATGTCACTCTACAGCCACCGAACTATCCCCATACAAAAATGTTGCCATGCCGACGCTTTGTTGCGACGTGAAAGACGGACAAACAAACAAACAAACACACTTTCGCATTTATAATATTAGTATGGATGATTGGGTTACAACTCTTGTCACTACTGTTACCACTTCGTAGACAGAGACGACGCTCTCCAAGGACGACAATGGCCGAATCTCTACAAATGATTTATGTGTAATTAAATTCAAATTTATTAATTAAAGTATACATATATTATATTCCATTTTTTCACCTTATTCTGTCGCAATGCAAAAAACCTGATTACCTTCATGATTTACGTTTATTTGCAAAATACTTCCTTAAAATAATATGATATAATTAATTTGCGTAACTTCACTGCTATTGTTGGTAAAATTGAATATACGTATATGTTAAAACTGTACTGCCTATAATGGATTAGTAACAGCGGATTTTAATTTTAATTCAAAGTTAATGTATGTAAACATTTGATAATTTTATTGCGACCTTGCAAGTGTTACCTGATGAGTAATGTTAATAATATTATAATTTTTTTATTTATTTATTATTTATTATACAATATTTTATATATGGTATTGTGTTCAATATGTGGTTACTTTTATGTTTATATCATTTTATATACATATATTTTTACAGCCGAACCATATGAGAATGCTTTTTTTATACTCCACAAATTATTTAATGGTTACACATTATTTGGTACATGTTGTAGGCCTGGGGCTAAGCGCCCGCTGTTAATTTAACAGTATGTGAGCAACCCAGAGCGATCCTAGTCGGCACCAATAAAAATGTTAACTGCAATTTTGAATGCTGATATACCACATGCTTAGCGGTGAAGTAAAACATCGAGAGGGAAACTTTCATGTCTGAGAAATAGAAAAAATATTTTATTTTTCGAAGACAAGTGATGTCCTCCAACACGTATATAGGTAGTAACATTATTATTACTTTTTTATATGAAAAGGTAAATGATTGTAAGTGACTACCGCCGCCCATGAACAACTGTAACATCAGGGGAATTTGGATGCGTTGCTGGCCTTTCAAAAAAAAGGGGAATCTTTTCTTCTAGGTCACTAAATCGTATCGGTCCGGAAAAGTTGCATTTAAAAATTTACTTTACATTTTATTTAATTTTTTTGTAGGATAAGGGTAACAATGTAATAAATTAATAAATAAATTTTAAAGGGGACAAGAAAATTTGTCTTTAACAAAGTTTATTTCTCGTACATCTTATTTATAAAAATAAGAAGGATATAGACAAAGGATATACACATTCAATAAAGTAGTATAGTAGTATTTACAGAAATAAAAAAGTGGGATAATAATTTTATATGAAAAAAGGAAAGAGAATTTGTTGTGTTGTGGCTGGGCGTGAGCGCCTGCCTCAAATTGTATAGTATGTTGCTGGAATGAAATGAGAAAATAATAATAAACTAAGAAACTAAAAATACGTCTATCGAACGTCGACGATTACTATTATCCATATTTGAATTTTTAGCATGCAATTAAATTTTTTTTTTGATTCGAGGGATTATCATTTTATCGGTTTACATTAAAAATTATGAATAACGCACAGTTTGGTTTTAAGAAAAGAAAATCAACTACGAATGATAGATATCAAGTGATGCAGTGTATTTACTTTTTTTCGTAATGTATAATTATACGTCATATGCTTCTCATTCAAAATATATATTACATGTCAAAATGTGCGTCTGCGTCTTTGGCCAAGTGGTCGTAGGCGCGTATGTTGATGAAGAGGTCATCCCAGATCGGGCGGGTTTTACTACCAAAAAATTCTTCGAAGGCTGCCGCTGCGACCAAAATTCGGTCTAAAGGACACTACTATTATGTCACTTAGTTCTTTTTTCTATCCCTTGTATTTTTTATATTTATTTAATTATACTTCATTGACCATATAACAGGTATTGACCATATGACAGGTATATGTGGACTTAGATACGACTTGTGCTCTGGGCATTGTATACCAGTCAATCAGTATTTTGGGGATTAGCTGAAATCTTCGAATCAGTACAATAATGACATGAGTCACAAAACGTGTAAAACCTGTATAATATTGATATTCGATAAATGAAATGTGCAAGCATGGTTAATGAACAGTAAACTCACAAAAATATAAAACACATTTAAATTAATTATAAAATATGTGTGTACGAGTATATATAAACAATAACAGCATAAATATCGTCTACTTGGTAAAGCCACACTAGCTATTTAACTGCTGCAGTACGAATGTGTCGACTCGATCGGAGAAGGACCACACTCTCGCAGAATACCAGCGTAAGTACCTCAGTTGCATCTCGTATTCTTAAGGCTGTATATTGCTCGCTCCTTGTAAGCTGATAGTTTCAACAGTTCTACAGTATTTGAAATTTGTTCAAGAAATCGAAATTGATCAGGAAACATTAATTTTATAACTTACTTTTATCGTAGACAGCGGGTAACAATCTGTAAGTAGGCGTGTGAGGTGCACCTCGTGAGGGAAATCGCAAGTTGTTACATGACCCATCGACTCGTTTTCCCTCTTCTGGATCGCATGGCTCAATTTGATTGGTGCACCAACTGAAAGTAATCTTATTTTCATGGCTGTCTCATTATTAACGTGTTTTCGTTTTTCATTCCTTTTTTTTTACTTAAATGATTCATTATCAAGGAGGCGCTATTTTTTGGTAAATTTGAAATAATAAGACTTTCAATTCTAATTATTTCAAAGTCCAACGCAGAACATAAGCTTTTCCCATAGATGGTCTCATAGGAGGGAGGGGAGAATTCGTCCTAATTGTTACGCTTGGCAGGCGGGTTGTGAGCGCGCAGATTTTTATTATTGTTTTTGAGTTGTTATCAGGAAGAGATCCTGTTTCAGTTTCTTTTTGAGTAACTCCACGAGATGACCTGTGATAGTTGAGTTTCTTACGGCTTTAATTTTCTACCGACTTCAAAACGGAGACGGTTCTCAATCATACCTTTTTACTGGGTAAACGGATTTCAATGATTCTTTTTTTATTTGAAAGCTGATGTTTCACATGTGGTTTTATATACATTTTATTAAAGTCTGACTAATAGTTTTTGAGTTATTCTTAATAATGTATATTGAAGTCGGTTGACGAAGTTCGACTTTTATTAACTTTATATTTATAGATGTTCAGTTCCATTTAAAATAAAAATTAAATAGAGAAAGTTTAAATTGATATACTGAAAGTAAAATATAAAAGTCTTGACAATTTAATAAGGTGATTATAATTATTGAATAATTTAAAACTAAAATAAAAAGTGATATGGGGACATTAATTTGTTACAGGCACCAATCTAATATAACACGTATATCAAATTTAACACGTAATTGACCGTAAACAAAAACATCTAAATGAAATCTACAGGTCACTGAAAAAACAAATATCTCTAAATAATAATAACCTGCCGAAATAGGCGAAAATATACTATTGCTGTTCTTTGCTTTCTCCTACGTGCAGTTTAATTCAATAAAAAAAAAAACATTGGATGATTTCTACTAAGAATTAAAGAGAATCAAACAGTTAGATTACTAAAAATATCCATTGTATAAAAACATAATTCAAGACCCTATAGACTGCATCTCAATCTTTAATTAAAACCGAAGAAAATAAATAGTGCAAACACTTACAACGTTATGTTCCTTTCGTCTCGTCTTTTTACCTCCTCGAGGCTTATTGGGGTTCCCGTAAACGAGTCATAATTAATCATGAGTTTCGCATGAGCGCCAGTAACTAGTAAAAAATACAATAATAACAACATTTCGCCAATAAATCCAATATCTAAATCTAATAACTAATCTTATTTACATATAAGTTTAAAATATTACTTTTATTGTAAATTTTAAAACAAATATAAATTAATTAATTTTAAGCTCTCATCACAGGCAGCGCCCAAATTGAAATATAGTGGCGTTAGCAAGTTTATATAATGTAACGGAATGTCTGCAGTATTCAATTTTAAGCGGTTTTTTTTTAGTTCTATTGTTTGATATCGTCTAAATTACGAAGGCTGTGGCCGGAGGATGTAAAAAATGCAAAACCAGAAATAAAATAAAAAATGTATTAGATAAAATGAACAATTAAATGTTAATATTAAAGTGTACGTCACAATTGCGCGATATTGAAAACAAAGCGACGGTGTCCCACGATGAATCGCTAAGTGTCCGGTACAATGCATTTCATGTTAGCGTTACTTGCCTGGCCATTTCTACGTAATTATGATGAGTGTGGGCTGTGTGACGCTGACCAGCAATCCATCATTAACACGGATATGTAACATCCCCCGTAGATCAGCCACTATGCGAGAACATAATGATAAAGTTCTTATGCGCTTTCTTATACCCTTATTGCGCTAGGATTCACATTTCTTGCAGCTGGAATAGTCTGGGTTTGTTGGGTGACTTCCGTATTGGATAATTCTCTGGACTGTTTTACTAGTACTATTTTTTTAACAACTTTCAATACAATTGTTAAAACGCTTTACTTTGTTATGGTCAAGTTGTTTGTTAAAATATAAAATAATATTAACTAGTGTAGTGACCAGGATAATGAAACATTTATTTATTTATTTTATTTATTTAATCTTTATTTTTAATACCTTTATAAATAGGGTAACCAAGGGCGGCCTCAGTGCCTATCGGCCAACCCGTGGACTGATAAGATTTTTTGGCAGGTGCAAATATATATATATATATATATATATATATATATATATATATATATATATATATAATCATCATTCATCATTACAGCCCTTCACAAATCCATCCACTGTTGAACATAGACCTCCCCTAAGGAATGCCAACAAGCACGGTCCTGAGCCACATGCATCCATCGACTTCCTGCATATCATACCAGGTCGTCACTCCATCTAGTGGGGGGACGCCCTACACTTCGCCTGCCGGTACGAGGCTGCCATTCGAGACCTTTTTTTACCCATCGGTTGTCGGAGCTATATGGCCGGCCCATTGCCACTTCAGCTTACTAATCCGTATGTCGTTTACTCTGGTTCTACTGCGGATATCCTCATTTCTAAGTTTATCACGCAGAGAAACTCCGAGCATAGCCCTCTCCATAGCTCGCTGAGCGACGTTGAGCTTCCTCATCCGGCCAGCAGTGAAGGACCACATCTCTGTTCCATAGGTCATCACTGGCAACACGCACTGGTTGTACGGTCTCGTTTTCAAGTTTTGAGGTATACCTGATGAAAAGATGTGCCGTAATTTCCCGAACGCTGCCCAGCCGAGTTGAATCCGTCGATTGACCTCTCGGTTGAAGTTGGACTTACCTAGTCGGACTATTTGTCCCAGGTAAACATACTCATCAACAACTTCGCGCTTAGTGCTCCCAACAACTATCGGCATAGGTGTAACATGGACATTAAACATGATCTTTGTTTTTGTCTATGTTCATCTTAAGACCTATCCGTTGGGAGACACTATTGAGGTCATTGAGCATAGTGCTTAGGTCCTCCAGCGATTCTGCCATAAGGACTATATCGTCGGCAAATCGAAGGTGAGTGATGTACTCGCCATTAATGTTGATACAGTATCCAGAAGCTTGAAAACGTCTTCCAATGCAGCGGTGAAGAGTTTCGGGGATATGACGTCACCCTGTTTTACATGTCTCTGCAATTGGATAGGTTTCGTACTCTGATTCTGTACTCGGATAGCCATCGTAGCCCTACTGTACAAGCATTTCAACACTTCGATATACCGACAGTAAACTTGGCACCGCTGAAGGGACTGCAGTACCGCCCAAATTTTGACGGAATCAAAGGCTTTTTCATAGTCCACATACGCCAGATATAGTGGCAAATTGTACTCCTCGGACTTCTGGACAATTTGCCAAAGGGTATGTATGTGGTATATGGTGCTAAAGTCTTTTCGGAAACCGGCTTGTTCGGGAGGCTGGAAGTCGTCAAGTCTGCGCGCGAGACGATTCGTAATGACTCTCGAAAACAGCAGCTCAGACGCGGCTCAGAAGGGAAATCGGTCTGCAGTTTTTCAAGAGAGCGTTGTTGCCTTTCTTGAAGAACAATACCACCGCACTTCTGCTCCACGCCTCCGGTGTAATGCAACCATGGAGGACGGAATTAAAGAGCTTCTGAAGAACTTCAAGTACCAATTTTCCACCCGCTTTCAGAAGCTCCGCTGTAATTCCATCCTCGCCTGGGGCGTTGCCGTTCTTAAGATGTTGGAGAGCCATTCTAATCTCGCTCAGACTGACGTCCGGGATATCATCGGAATAATGTCGGATAAGACTCGCTCTTGGATCGTTACTCACACTTGCGTGTGGATCCAACGATGATGTGTACATCTGCCCATAGAACCTCTCAATCGCACTCAAAATCTCAGGTGTCCCGGAAATAACGCTGTCACACTCAGTCTTCAACTTCGACAGTTGGCTCTTTCTGGCAGACAGATCTCTAGCAAAGATTTTGGAGCCCCGGTTCCGCTCGATCGCTGCTTCAATACAGGCAGTATTAAAGTTGCGTAAGTCCCGCCGCATGCATTTGGAGATCTCTTTGTTCAGTTGCCTGTATGCTGTCAAATCTACTGAAGACTGCAGCTTCATATCCTGTCTAACAGCCATGAGATTTAGAGTGTGATCGGAGAGTTTTTGTGTTGCGGCGTGTCTTGCAAAACTTAGCTCTGACCGCATGGACAGTTTCCACGAGCTTGTAATTCATATCGTGCACTGCATTGCAATCTTCTAGGCACTGAAAACAGTTTCGTAGCTCGAGCTGAAAGGTTTCGGGAATTTGGAATAGAGCACGAGGGGGACGGAGCGTTGACTTCATTAGACGTGACCTCTCCAACTTAACGTTTAGGTTCGGTGTGCCTCTCACCATTCGGTGATCGCTGCCGGTTTTCACCCTCGCGATCACTGAGATATCACTGAACAGTTGTCGTCTGGTCGTCATAATGAAGTCAATCTCAATTTTTGTCGAACCGTCGGGGCTCGACAAGGTCCACTTCCTATGGTACCGCTTCTGGAAGAAAGCGTCCCTCATAAAGAGTCCCTCTTTCTCCATGAAATCGGCCAGCTGCTGGCCCCTTGGGTTCCGTTGCCCTATTCCGAATTTCCCTACTTTCAGCTCACCGTTCTCTCTTGTGCCTAGTTTTGCGTTGAAGTCTCACATTAACACCGTATATTTGGTTTTGGAGAAATGCATGGCTCTAGAGATATCCTCATAAAATTTCTCAGCCTCCTCATCGGGCATCGATGTGTGCCGAGGTTGGTGCGTAAACCTGTATGACCTTCAGCGAATACCGGTTAGTGATTCTGAGTATAAGGTACGCAACCCTCGTCGATGCACTCCCAATCTTTACAACGTTGTTAACGAGAGACTTTTGGCCGATAAAACCGACACCTCCTTGGGACAGATGGTCGCCCTCCCCGTGATAGAACAAGTTGCCGGATTCGAAGACCGTATCCTCTCCCTCTCTTCGGACCTCGGATAATCCTATGATATTCCAGCGCAACTTGTCTATCTCTTCCATGGGGGGTATATTGCCATAGTTGCCACGCTTGGCGAGCGGGTTGGCAACCGCAGTTTTTTTATTGTTCATGTATATATATATATATATATATATATATATATATATATATATATACAAACAAACATACATACAAATACAAATGATAATAAAATACAATAAATTGATCTTTCCCAAGGATCTTTCTAAAGGTTTAGTAATAGGCCGTTAGTAATATTTATGACGTGATCGTCTCAGTTAGGACCCTTATTTACGTTATGTTTGTTTAGTAACTTAGTTCTTTTAGGTGTCTACTGGAAGAATGAATATTCTCTAGAGAAATTAATAGCCGTTTGTAGTGCTTTATAATTATTTTAAACTAAAGAATCCTGTTCACGAAGAAACGACTCAAAAAGGTTAATAACATTAAATCCTCCCCATTCCACTTGTATCATGTTTACATTAAACAATTCCTTATAATTAATCCCTTCCCGCTTGGAAAAGGTTCAAAATATTTATATAAAAATACCCAATATTTATATAAAAATGTGTCGGAGGCACACCGGTCCACACGTCGTATGCGGTTAGCGCCAACCAACGCGCAACCAACCAACCATCGCGATCCCGAAGAGGGATGTTAAGCTGGGAACTGCACCATAGCCCACAGAAAAATATCTGAAGAACCAGTAAAAGACGGCTTGGCCTCTTGGTAGTGCTTACGCACAAACATCGACCGAAGTCGCACATGTCTATGCGCGTAACCGCCATACAGAATACGATCAAATTGTGAATGTACATCACACGGTTTAGGTACACGTCGAAATAGGCACACTTGCCATAAGCAGCCCTCCGTGAGCGCCACCACCTGCCATACTGCCGCTCCTGCAAACATTATGTCAGTGTCATCACCACCAATCGTAAGGCCAATACAGCTTCTAGCCGCAGAGCGTGTCATGAGTCTACTGCTCACCTCAATGGAATGGGGTCCCTCGTTGAACGACCGCATGAGGTCGATACATATGCTCCACCAACCAATAGAATAGAAAAGAATAGAATAATTTTTTATTCAATATTGATTATTACATAATACTCATTGAAAGTCTTTTTTTATTTACCAATGGTACAGAAAATACCTCAGTCCTGGGAAAAACCAGCAAGAAACCCAGCGGGACATTTTTTTTTCAAACATATTTCACTTAACAATAATTTCGTTTATACAATTTTAAATGATTTTCATAGAACCAGCATGATGACGATCACCCTATTCCCAGGGGTTATT